TGGAAACACGTGGCAATGTAGCAATGTTGGCTGCATTTCAGTGTTGTATGTAATTTTGGGAAGATCCCATCTCTATATCCATGTTTCCCAACTTTAAAATAAGGATACCTGTATTCTTGCTGTTGCAGTGTTATGTTTCAAATTCATTTAAATAACTGTAATCTCTAAATGTAAGGTTCTTTTATGATGATACGTGGAAGGTATCTGTAAACAAAACACCAAACCCTTTGCTGTCAAGTTGATGCCGACTCATGGTGACCCAACATATTGCAGAGTAGAACAGTTCCCTGTAGGGTTTTCAAGGCTGTGATCTCTCAAAGGCAGATTGCCAGGCCTCATTCTCAAGGAGCTACTGGGTAGATTCAAAGCACCAACCTTTCCATTAGTAGTCAAGCACTGAACATTTCCACTACTTAGGGACTCAGACTGACTCTCCATGCAAAGGGGCTTCAAAAAGTTCATGGAACAATAGAAGTAAAAGATAATGGCATTTTTTCAACAAAATTTTTGGAGTCCCCTCTTATATGGATACAAGGGAAAGCTTGTTCTCCTTCCTTTTTAATATCCTCATCTGTTTTGTTCCCCAGGTAACCAGTAACCTAGTTATCTCCTACCTCTCCAAGCAGCTACAACCCAGAGGAGTCTCTTTTGCATGTCATGGAAGGGATTTTATGTTCTTCTTCTGAAAGGAAATAACTACCTGGGTGTTCCCTAATAACTTGAATCATTGAATAGTTTATTCTAAAATATATAAAGATTTCACCTTTAGATTATGTTAGCAACTTTGATCCAGGAATGGAGTGCCTCAGATTGTGCTATTGAAACAAACTTGGTTCCATTGCCTTAGTCGCAAGGATGGCACAAGCCAGCAGGCCCAAGGATGGCATGTTGAAAGCAGTTATCCTCATGCTTGTTTTGTGTATGAAGAGATTTGCTCTGATGCAGATTGTGTGCTATTTCTCATTACTAGAGCATAGCCTTCATATCCCATTAGCCTGCAGGGTAGGGCCAGATGAGCACTTCCACAGGAAGGCCTTTCCTGAAGCTTAGCACTCCTCTAGCCTACAGTCCATCACACTGTCACATTCCTTCCCAGAGGTGGCAGCATTCTGGTGAATAGCAAAGTGAAATGATTTCCAGAGAAGTAATTAGCAAAGTGCAGAGAGGATTTAAAAAGAAAGAGAGAGCAAGATGGAACAGGCTATCAATCAATAAATAATAAAAAATTCAGTCGAGGGCATTTTCCATCCTGGTATTCTTGGCTATGAGAGAGAGAGAAAGAGAGAGAGAGATTCGTGAGGGCAGGTCAAGTTACCCCTACTCCACTCATGTTACCCAGCTTTAATATAATGCAGTGTAGACACATGATGAGTCTTGATAAGGATCACAAATTGGAACCATGATTTCACATCCACCTGATTTCCTACCACTACTTCAGGCTTTCAGGTAGGGCTAAGATATCTGATCTTTGATATTCATGGAGTAATTGCATAGACATTGATCTCTTAATGGTAGATGATAAGTTAATTCATCCCTAAACTCTTCTAACTTGGCAGATGAGCAATTATTAGTCATCACCCTCACTCTAGGCATTACATAGTCTATTATTTATCATTTACATATAAATAAAAGTATGAGCCTCTCAAAGGAGAAAGTGGCCCAGGAGCAAAAGAAAAGAGTAGACCAGTAGCGGGGAGGTAGTGGTAGTGTCTGGATGATTTAGAATTGCCAGGAGATGAGACCGTAGTTCACAATTGACAGGAGGAGGAGAGAAAAAATAAAGGTCGGATTTGGAGGAAGGAGAGTGGCACAGGAGGCAAAGTCCATTGAGAATGACTGATAGAAGGGGAAAAGCAAGGAGTTATAATTCATTCATTGATAAATTCTAATTTTGCCTTCGTTTTGCACTGGATTTCAACATAGGACTGGACCAGCACATTTATGCATTCATTCAACAAATAATTCTTCTTATAGCCCAACCTTAAGTTAAATAAGGAAAAACAGAGATAGCTCTGCCTTCAGTTAAGCAAGTAATTCCAAGGTGAAAAATTTTTAAAAAAAAATAAATTTTAAGGGTGTTAGAGAAAAAGATGTGACAGAGGCCAAGGGAATGAAGTGAAGGCCTTGAATCAGCAAAGTTACGGCCAGACTTTGGCCGGCCTAGGATGCTATATGTGTGTTAATACATTTACTTTTAATCCTATGAGTAAAACCCCAAATAAAACGTGTTGCCCACAAATTCCTGCCAACTCACTGTGACCCTCTTGGACAGAGAAGACCTATCTGCCCCACAGGATTTCCAAGGATGTAAACCTTTCTTTCCCTTGTTTTTTGGTGGGGTTTTGCTTGGTTGTGTTTTTAATTGTGGTTTGGGTAAAAGTTTACAGAGCAAATTTGTTTTCCGTTCAACAATGGATGTGCACTTTGCTTTATCACATTAATTGTAATTCCCTCCATGTAGCAGCCTCCTTCCACTTCTTGCCTGTTTCCACTTGTCCTTTTCTGCCCTGTCTGCCTTCTTAGCTCTCTTTCTGGTCAAATGCAGTCCTTTTGGTCTCCTATGTTTGATTCTTCAGAGGAACACCTTCCTCCCTGGTGTTATTGTTCACTTTCTGGATCTGTCTATTGTTTGGCTGAAAGGTGATCTCCAGGGGTGAGTTCAGTTCCAGGTTTGAAAAGTGTCTAGGGACCTGAATCTTAGCGGTTCCATCAGTCTCTGTCAGGAGAGTAAGTGTGACTTTTTTCTTTTTCTTTATGACTTTTGATTTGTGTTCTAGCTCTTTTCTCCCATTCTGTTCAGGACTTTGTGTGATCCCAATCTGAGCCAGCTTTAATAGTAGCTGGGCACCTTCTAGTTCTCCTGGTCTCCGAGCAGTGGAGGTTGTAGTTCATATGGTTCAATAGTCCTTTGGACTAATTGTTTACTGGAGTTTTTGTTTTTTCACTTTTCTTTCCTCTGGATGGAGAGAGACAAAAAAAAAAAAGTTGCATCTTAGATGGCAGCTCACACCAGCTTTGAAGATCCCAGTTGCTACTCACCAAAGTAGGATGGAAAACTGCCTTTGTAGCTTGTGTTATGCCAATGAATTTAGCTATCTCCCAAAGCTGTAGTCCTAACTCCCAAGCCCAGTGAATCATTCCCCTCAGGTGTTTTGTTATGGCTAAGAAGTTTTTATAACTTTGTCTCATTTGTTCTATTCAAGACATGGATAGTTTTACAATACATACAAATATGTATGTACAAGTATCCTTTGCTAAACATATATATACTCCTGGTTGTACACCCACTCATCTAACCCTACCTATTCAGCCTGTATGTCTGCCTCGGTATTCACTCATATATTATTGTTTATGACTGATATTGCAGGATTGTTTATACAATGGTATTTACCTTTGTTGTAGTGCTATCATTCTGTATGGAAGCAAACTGCCACCTCTTTTTCATGTGGAGCTGCTGCTGCCTTAGCAGAACACTGAAGAACTGTGCCATAGGGTTCCAATAACCAAAGAAGAAGAAATGAAAGAAACCAAACCCTCTAGCATTGCTCTATCCCATGCAACCCTGTGTAGGTTTTCCAAGACTGTAAATCCTATGGAAGCAGACAGCCTTATCTTTCTCCTGAGGGAGTGGCTGGTGAGTTTGAGCCATCAACCTTTTTGGTGAGCAGCCAGGCATTATTATTATGCCCACTTTAATGGTGGGGAAAATGAGGCCATGTGGCTGGAACATTCAGAGTAAAGGAAAGACCGCTCACAAGTTGGAGAAGTCAGCAGGGTCTAGCGGGGCAATGACGTTAGTCTCACTTGGGGTTAAGGGCACCTGCTGACTACTTACAGGACTGAAACAGGGCTGGGGAGCAAGTGGAAGGTCCATTGAGACATCTCTATGGGTGCCAGGCAAGAGTGGATGCGACTGGTCGAGGAAGGCAGTCTAAGAAAGGGTGAGAAACAACAGAATTTGAGGTGGGTTTGGGCTGGCTTGCGAATTGAGAGGCTGCCAAACAGCAAGAACACAGAAGGAAAATGTGTTCAATGGACTCAAACCTCATACCAGTCGCTTCTGCCATTGAAGAGCGGCAAGGGAAATGGGATCCTAGAAATTGAGGTTTTCCAGGTATCTGACCAGGATCCTGCCTCACCATTGGTATAGGACTTACCATATATACTCGATTATAAGCCGACACAAATATCAGCCAGGGCACCTAACTTTACCACAAAAACTGCATTAAAAATGTGCTGAAAAACTCGGCTTATATATGAATATACGGTAAACACCCATCCTCCTATGCTGTGGTCTGACTGCTTGTAGCCCCCACTCCATGTTTTTTAGTTCAGTGGATGCACATCCTTCCTGATCCATGGGACCCCTAGAAGGAAATGGCACGTCAAGGAGACCTAGTGGTGCAGTGGATAACCATTAGGCTTTCAGCAAACCAGAAGTCCCCGGTTCAAATTCACCAGCTGTTTTGCAGGGCAACACAATGTGGTGGGCTGCTACCATCAAGATTTCAGCCTTGGGAGCCCTATGAGGAAGTTCAACTCTGTTCCATAGGGTTACAATGCATTGGGACCAGCAGTACAGAATTTGGAGAGGCGAGCAAGGACCACGACTCCCGAGGACCAGGGCAGTCTCCAGGCAGAGAAGAGAGACTGGCTAGTAAGATACTGCTGTTGGAGGGATGGCAGGGAGATGAAGAATCAAAAGTGAAGATGACTCCCCTGGGAGGAAACGGGCCTAGCTAACCTCAACCCAGTCATTAACTCTGCCCAAACCTTCAGGACAAAACCCACATGCAAGGATTTTTGGAGTCTGGAAACTGAAGAGCAGAGTTTATTTTCAGAACAAGGCCCAGAGAAGGAAGAAAAAGAGAAATAGGGTTCGATGTTTTAATTACTTTTAACTGGTTTCCACCCGAACCCTCTTCCTCAAATAATGAAAGAATGAAAGTTGGAGAGGATTTATGCCTTTTCCTTCAACTCTGCCATTTTGGCTCATAACATCCTGGCTCCCTCTCCCACTTCCACTCCATTTTCTTCACACAAACAGCTGGGTAGGTCCATGGCCATTTTGTTATTTTGGCCAAACCGGGCATCCAAGCCGGATGAGTTTTCCTGGCGGCCATCTAGAGCTGTGGTCGGCTTCAGAACAGTAGCCACATCATGATCTCCAGGGAGCGGCTCTGAGCTTCATGCGATACTGTTCTTCATCTGGGTTTTATAGAGAACAGGAGTCTTGACCCTGCAGTGGGGGAGAGCAGAGTCTTGTTAGCAACTGTCCCAGGAAAACATGAAGGGAAACGGGAAGGGCTAAAGGAATTCCAGGCCCTACTTCGCTCTGAGCAAGGCCCAAGCTGACTCCCTGGGTGTGGCCTTCACACTAGCAAAATCAACTCCAGCTAGACCTCGGCAGAGCAAGAGCAGAGGATAAAAGTGCCAAGGAAAAAATAACTGCCAATATGATCAAGTGCAAGTGGACCCAGCAAGCCGCAGGACACCGGCCCCCTCAGGAAACACAGCTCCAAAGAGTACAAAAGTCCTTCAGTGTGGGGTGGCCGGCGTGTCAAATCACGGTGAAGAAAGTAGTAGTGACAAGGATGCGCGCTAAGAGCCGTCCCCATCCCTTGCTTCCCAAACTGTCCAAATCCCAACCCCAGAGACACTGGCCGCTATTTCAGGGAAAGTGAGGAATGCTGAGAGCATCACGGGAAACAAGGTTATTTTCCCAGAACTGAGAAAAGCTGTCACACAAACCCTTCCCTGCTTGTTCTCTTTTCCTATCCCAAAAAACTCCCATCAGGAAACAGCAGGGGGAGAAGGAAAAAAAACCCCACAGGCAGCCCCACCATGAGAAATCAAGGCAGTTGAAATGACATCTGACACCACCAGGCCACAGCTGAAGAACAAGGGAAAAGTTTTAGGGCGACTGTCACTGACCCATAGTCCCTCACTCCTAACCTTGCTCTCCAACATATGTTTCTCATTTCCTTGCTTATAGCTGGTCCAAGCTAATGATATGTGTTTTGGCCGGGATCCCGTGCTTGGCATACAGCCGGCCTTGTTCTCATTGTCCCGGCTACTTACAGAAACCTCTTTCTCTGTCTCTTTCTCGCTCTCAAAAACCGGCTTTAAAGAACAGTAAATATGCAAAACAGCCCCCGCGCTCTATACAGCTACCATCTTGAGCACGGTCCCCTCCACCCGAACACACCCCATCAATAAAGGCCTGAAGAGACTGCCCACGGGTGAGGGGTAAGTTCAACACAAAAGCAGTGGAAATTCAAACAAATTGGCCCATTAGAGTCTCACACAGCTATAAATACAGCTCGGCGCGGGCTATTTCGAGGGACGGTGGCATGGGAAAGTTCGGCCTGGAATCTCAAGTCTGTCAGAAGAGACAGATTTCTCCCAAGACATGGGAAGACGACGAAGAAGCGCTCAGCGGGCAGGAGGAAGGAGGGCACTGAGTCTGGCCAATTTTAAGGCAAAGTTAAAGCTGGCCGGGAAGACGCAGCCTGGCCTCGTCCCTGCTCTCTGTCTGGGGCTGCCGGCTGTCAGAGGCTAGGTTCTGATGTCATTCAGAGTGTCCCTAACCTCTAAAAAAGCTGAACATGCCCTTTTGCTCCTCAAGGGTCAAGGGACCATTTCACTCTTCCTGAAGTACTGGGCAGACCAGTGGAGGAGGGGTGGGAACCAGAATGGACCAGCCAGCCTGGACTGGGCAGGCCAGCTGCAGTGGGGAGGTCTGGATGACCCAGAAGGATGCTTAAGGAGGCCATGTGTGCCAGTCAGACCCTAAAGTGTGGCACCCAGACCATAGAAATGGTGAAGTTAGGGGTATAACATCCTGAGTTTTCAGAAAGGGGGGAGCTCGGAAGCAAGAGTTACCAAACTTTGTAGGCAGAGAACACATGATGCAAATGTCAAGAACTGCTTAATGTTTCCCTGGGGGCGGGGGGTGTCAGCAGATGGCAATTAACTGCTACCAGCTTCCAATGAGTCAACATGGAATATGCACATACTGAGGGCCTGGCTCACCTGCCCGTACTTTATGAACACAGACTCATCGCCTTAGGAGGGTCTGGGAAATGGGGAGGTGCTGCCCAATTTGCTCAACCTCCCAGTTGTATTGAGCTCTATGGCCACTTCTGTTCAGAAAGCACACCTCAGAGAACCTTGTATTTACTCCTTCTGTTGGCAAGTTTGAGCACCTACTATATACCAGGAACTCTATAGGCCCAGGGGTCACAGCAGAGACAGCCCTGATGCCCCTGAGGCTTTTATCCCAGGGGACAAATCTGACCTGTCCCTGACTCCTGCCCAGTGTGCTCAGGACAGCCCCACTTTATATCTGCTGTGCCCATGTAATTATTAATAGCTCTTCTTCTCACTCTCAAAAGTGTCCCAGTTTGGATGATGAATTATCTGGTTATTTTATCTAGAGTTCCTTTTTAAAAGTTTTTTTTTTCTTGGTATGAAATCTAATACACTGCGAGAAAAGTGCAAAAATATCCCCTCCTCTTTTAGAGGCTCTTTGGAACTTGAAAAAGTTGAGAGGGTTCCCAAACTATCAAGAAAATGGTTTTAGCAGATTAAATTTTAATTAGTTTGGGAGTAGCTGCACTGCATTCTGGTCTGAGTCCTTGGGCCAGGCTGAGCGAATGGCTTTTGGCTCTGTAGCCACAGACAATGTCTGCTCTGGATTATCCATGATGAGTTTGAAACTTCAAACTGCCTGCCCTCCACCACTAAGCTTGGAGACGACTATGGCTTAGGAGGGCACTTGTCCCCTGCACAGCCTAGAGGGAAGGAGCCAGTCCAGGTTACCGCGGCAACTCCCTTTCCGGAAGACCTCTGACTGACACTTCCTGGGGAGACAGGAAATAAGGACAGGAAGATACAAGGTCGCCCTCTTCCCATGTCCAGCTTTCTCCACCTCCTAGTCTTGCCTCTCATTTGCTGGTGTTTCTCTTTCCCATTCCTATCAGCAAACACCCATTCCTATCAACTGCCAAGCCAGCCAATAGAACCCCAAAAATATTTCAATAATAACCTGTATATCTAATGAGGTAAAAAATATTGAGTGTATCCAATGAGGTAAAAACACTTCAAAAAAAAGAAAAAGCACTTCAAAATGTTATGTAGCTGACTCCATAGTAAAACATACATGGTTTATAGTTTCTATACTTTTACTATCAGCATGATGACACTGACAACCATACAGCCAAGGTCTTGGGCCCCTACTGTATGCCAGACATTGAGGTGAGAGATAGAGGGTTGAACAAGGGACCTGAGGGAGACAGGTAGTAAAGAGAGAATCTCATAATCAATATGTAACTGCCCATTGTGATGAGGGCTACAAAGGAAGAGTACATTATAGAGGGAGAGTATGTAACTGAGGACCTTATTTAGATTTGGGTAGCCTAGGGAATGCCCCTTAGAATAAGCAACGTTAATCTAGGATCTGAATGATGAATAAGAGGCAAAGAATCTTTATTGTCCATTCATCTCAAGAGTCAGGGAGTATGAGCAGTGTTGAACATGACCTCCATGCTTGACAAAAGTATTTCATTGTGACATCAAAAGAATTTAAGGCATAGGACTTTAAAATCTGCACATTTATCACCCTCACTACCTATACTTACAAGAGGGGACTATGCCTTAGTCCTACGTTGTTAGTTGGATGTGAAATGCCCAGTGTGTCTGAATTGTAGCAAGTTCTTAGAGCACGCGACTCACCTCTCTGGGATTATTCTAGCAGATGTCCACCTCAACTCACGCCATTGATTATGAGTCACAGGGACCCTTGGAGTTCCAAGGCTGTAAATCTTTACCATAGCACACTGCCACCTCTTTCTTTCTTGAAGCAGCTGGTAGGTTCAAACTGCAGGATCTCTCGTATCTGAACCCCCAACACCCAGCACAATTTCAAGTGTTGATCTCATGCAGTCATTTTTGATAGTAAGTGCTCGAGATACATTGAATAAAGAAAAGAAGCAACCCTTTAATTGATAAATCAACTTTGACAGCATGCCTTCTATGGGCCAGGAACCTGGTGGCACAGTGGCGTAAGCTTTGGGTAGGTGATTTCAACCCACCAAGGGAGAATGATTAGGCTGTCTGCTACCTTGAGATTCACAGCCTAGGCAGCCCCGTGGGGCAGTTGTACTCTGTCCAGGAATCAGAATGGACTTGACAGCAGTGTGTGTTTGACGGACCAGCGATTGTGCTGGGTACTTTGACATATAATTACCTCCTTACGTGACTGTACCTTTCTTAAGGGTGGTATGCTAATAGCTAGACTAAATAACAGCTCTGAAAACAATGATAAATTATAACCCTAGTGAGGTTTGGAGAAGAAAAGAACAAGAATGCCTTTTTAGGAGCATTTTGAAAAAAACAAACAAGGGAAGGTGAGCATGAAGGGGAAAGGGATGGTCCAAAAAGACCCACTTCCACTGAAGGATTTCTCATGCATGGCCCCCAAAGAGGACAGAGTAGAATTCTTCTTAGGTCTCTCAGATTGTAAATCTTCACGGGGGCAGGAAACCTCATTTCTCTCCTATAGAGCAGCTGGTGCATTTGAACCACCAGCCTTGCATTTAGCATCCCAGTGCTGCTCCATCAGCATTCTAGGGCTCCCTGTGTGCTCCAAAGACTCCTAGAACGAGGACAAGGAAGAGCCTTAACGGGGGAGGAGGCCTAAGGTGACGCAGATGCAATGCAGATGGTAGCATTGCAAAACCTCAGTCTCTGAGGGCCTGAAATGGACAGACAGATGGAGGTGGTGACTGTAGATTATATTGTCCTTAGGATGTGTTAGGAAGACCTCCAAGACTCAGAGGGAGTTGCATTGGGGTTTGGAGAGAAAAGGGAGCGTGAAACACTGAAGGACAGAGGTGCTCCAGCAAGGAGATGTGCAAATGGGGTGGGCGTCGATGGAGCTGTGATAACAGGAAAGTTTTCCCCAAACAAAGGTACTGAAAGGAAATGTGAACAAAAAGTAGCTCCAACTCTCTAGGCTTATGAAAGAGCACTGAATACGGAAGGAAACTAAGCAGGTGATTTTAGATTGTAAGAGGTTGCTTAGTCAAAAAGAGGCACTTGTTACTGTGAATGATTTATACAACAGCAAGTTTAAACAGAGGTAAGGGTTGATGCCATCCAGGATAGTAGTGGGAAGGAGATGTCTGGAATTTCATGGGAAAAGTCTTCCCATGAAAACAAGGGTGGACAGGAAAG